GGTAACTCCCCCCAGCTTTATGTTCACCTGTAAGAATCATAAATATACTGTTTGATAATTTTATGCATGCTGTTGATATTGAATAAAAAAATGACTAAATGGATATTAAAGAAAGGGCTTTGTTTAGACAATTTTGCATATTATAATACCTAATGTTCAATTTTCCAATAAGTTGACACATTTTAGGTAGTTTTTATATAATGTTATTTACTTACTAAAGTATATTACATAGCAACATATGACTATATCTCCTTTAAAGAAAATATTTACAGATAAGTTGATCTATCCTTAAATCTATCCTCTTCTCCAAAAAAATCATGGTTATCAGTTTATATATAAACTGATATATCCTATCAGTTATATAGGATATATATATATATATATCCTATCCTATATATCCTCTAGGCTTTTATTTGGTATGTGTGTGTATACAGACATTCTTGTTTTATTGAAGTTTGCTTCATTGTGCTTCATAGATATTGCATTTTTACAAAATGAAGGTTTGTGGTGACCTTGTGTCAGTAAAAGTCTTTCGGCACCATTTTTCTGACAGCGTGCACTCACTTTGTGTCACATTTTGGTAATTCCAATATTTAAAACTTTTATTATTATATCTGTTATGGTGATTTGTCATCACTGATCTTCGATGTTAGAATTGTAATTGTTTTGAGGAGCCTTGAACCAGTAAAATGATGAACTTCATCAATAAATGTTGTGTGTTCTCCCTCCGTTTAATTCTATGAAGACTGAGAGAGGTGAGGAAGCAGCAGAAGCAAAGTCTGAAGGTAGCAAAAGTTGACCCATGAGGTTTAAGGGAATAAAGCTGTCTCCATCACACAACAGTACAAAGTGAAGCAGCAAGTGCTAATGTAGAAGCTGTAACAAATGAGAATATCTGAGAAAATTGATGAAAAGTGGCTACACTAAACAACATATTTTCAGTATATGTAAAACAGCCTTATATTAGAAGAAGATGCCATCTAGGACTTTCATAACTAAAGAAGAGAAGTCTATGCCTGCTTTCAAAGCTTCAAAAGACAGGTTGACTCTTGTTAGGGACTAATACAACCGGTAACTTTAAGTTGAAGCCAATGCTTCAACTTTCCAACATTCACCATTCCAAAAATCCTAGGGCCCTTAAAAATTATGCTAAATTGACTTTGCCTATGCTCTATAAATGGAACAACACAGTTGGAATGGCAGTACATCTGTGTACAGCATGGTTTACTGAATATTTAAAACCACTGTGGAATCCTTCTTCTCATAAAAGATTCCTTTCAAAATATTACTGCTCACTCACAGTGCACCTAGTCACCGAAGAGCTCTAATGGAGGTGTGCAAGGAGATTGATGTTGTTTTCATGCTGGCTAACATTAATTTTGCAGCCTATAAATCAAGGAGTAATGTGGAATTTTAAGTCTTGTTATTTAAGAAATACATTGTGTAAGGCTATGGCTGCCATAGATAGTGATTCCCCTAATTGAGAAAAATAAATTGAAAACCTTCTGGAAAGGATTTATCATTCTAGATACCATTAAGAACATTCGTGATTCATGGGAGGAGGTCAACATATCAATAGTCGTAGGAGTTTGGAAGAAGTTGATTCTAGTGCTCATGGATGAGCACTAGATCCCCCTTTGAGGGATTCAAGTCTTCAGTGTAAAAAATCACTATAGATGTGGTGGAAATAGCAGGAGAACTAGACTTAGAAGCAGAGCCTGAAGATGTGACTAAATTGCAACAATCTCATGATCAAACTTGAATGGATGAGGAGTTGTTTTTATGAACGAATAAAAAAAAAAGTGGTTTCTTGACATGGAATCTATTCCTGGTAAAGATGCTCTGAACATTATGGAAATAACAACCAAAGGTTTAGAATATCACATAAAGTTAGTTAAGAGGATTGACTCCAATTTTGAAAGAACTTCAACTGTAGGTACACTGGGAAACCAAAAAACTCTATGTGACTCACTTTATTGTAATACTTGCTTTATTGGGGTAGTCTGGAACCTAACCCACAATATCTATAAGGTGTACTGTGTGTGTGTTTATGTGTGTGTATATATATTATATATAGTGGTGTTTTATGTTTATGTGTTTTCTATAGATAATATCATACTATATATTATTGATCATCTGTCAATAAAGTTTTCCATGAGTTTCCCAGTTAGCAACTCTGATTAAAAATAGTTCCATACCACCATTTCTATCTTAGGCAAAACTGTGAAGGAGGTGAAATTTTTTCTTGTCCTCTGTTATTTTGTTCATTATCTCCCTCATTCATCTTCATTTTCAAACCTTCTCTTTCCCTACACACTTAGTGCCTTTTCTCTGCTTCCTTACCCTATTACTGAGACTCTAAAGAAAAGATTCCTATACTTCACTGTGAACTTAAGTCAGTGTATTACTTAAAACAACTGTCCATTAATCCTTGGCGCCAAGTATACAATAAAAGGATTTGTGCCAGTTCAAAGATCTTCTAGTACCAATGAGATGGGGGGGGGATGCTTTAGGAAGCATGGGGTCTCTTTTGTGTCCTAAATCCCACCTATTACTGGGTGCCTGCACATTCTGTGAGGCCATGAAGCTACCTTTGTCAAAGAATATTTTGAAATAAAAAGTGCACATTTTGAATAGGCCTTACATTTGATTATGGGGCCACTTTTCCAAGTTTCAATTTATAATCTGAAATTATGGGCTCTTCTGCTTAGCCAGGAGCAAGGCAGTGAAGTGTTAAGAAGATGGTTCAACATTTCCAGATGAAATGTTGGTTATTTGCTCTGAGAATGAATAAAAGCACACACTGCTGCCGCTGCTGTCGTGTGGTAGTGCTGGCTGTAACGCCGCTACAGAGCCTGCTAGCCCTAAACTGTCAGAAGATGTTGCAGGATGGAAGAAAAGGCCACCAAACCGTAGCAGGACCACAGCCTTAAGGAAGAACTGCCCGGTTCCCTAACCCCAGGCTTTTGGCTCCTCTGGGGTCATTTTGGATGCCAAGCATTAAAAAAAATTTGACCATTAGCTATATATACCTTTGCGGTTTTCAAATTCAACATTCTGGTGCTGCTTTCTACCTTGAAGAATGCATACCCACTTATTAAGTACCAGGCATGATGCTAGCCATTTGTATACTTCACATTTAACAAACCTGTCAGATTTAATAAGGTAAAGATTAGGATACCCGTTTTATGGGTGAGGCCATTGAAGTTCAAGGTTGCCCAACTCAAAACGGTTGTTTCATAATTCAAACTGAGTTAACCCCAAAGTCTATCTTTTCCACTGTGCCCTTTGGCTTCTTTTCGTGTCCCTTTGCTCAATCAAAAGTGCACAGTGCACATTATTTTATACACAGCTGTACATAATCTTCCAGATTCTCACTCTTAGTGTCTTTTTTTGTGGGTGGGGGGAGTTTAAAAAGGAAGCTGTAAGGTATTCATAATTAAGTAAATTATGCAAATGTAATTTGTCATTTTGGAAATTCTATCAGCTAAAACCCATTCTTTTCACTAAAAGCATCTGCTAGCTAAAATCATGACCAATTTCAAGAAGCCACTCAAATAATCAAGGCTGTTCACTGACTAAACTTGTTTCTTCATTCCCAAATTCTTAAATTAATGAAATCCCTGAGTTCTTTTAAGGAATTACACAAAGCATTTGTATGTGTTTAGCGATGCCCTACAAGGGTTTTGGATGAGAAATTACAGTTTTCTTTTTCTGGCTATCCAATTATCTGATACCGTTTTTAATGCAAAACACTCTTGTGGTTTGGCTTTTCAGAATCTTCTTGCTGTTGCAAAATTAATTGTTACTATTGCAAATTATTTTCCTATTAAGTAAGATATTTGGACCAGTTGTAATTTCTGTACATATTTTATGTTCCATTTAGTGAAAACACAGAGCCCCTAGAATGACCTGTTTTCGTGTTTGTATTCTTAACAAATATATTTTATCTATATTGATACTTGAACTCATCAAAGCAAAATTTATTGTTAGAAGATAAGATTGATTTTGTTTGTTTGTTTGTTTGTTTGTTTATTTCTTGCCTCAACTCTAAGCATTTTGTTTTGGGAAGATAATGCAATTTTGAGTCTAGCAAAATATCTTAGGTTATTAGATATATTTATGCTTAAAAAACTAAATATTCAGAAATTTATTTGAAATTTGACTTATTCTTTTGAATTTTGAGTGAAGAATAACACTTAAGCATGTTCGCAAGGTGAGATGCTTCTGTTATTTAATGTGATTTGTATTATTCATGTAGTAGAGCCATGTGAGTGAGTTTTGAGGATATTATATTTTAGCATGGTAGGATATATAACCAAGACTCCAGACCAGGGGTCCTAAACTTTATAAACAGGGGCCAGTTCACTGTCCCTCAGACCATTGGAGGGCCGTTGGAGAGTGCAGCACACATTTCACACATGCGCACTGTGGGCCCGGGATGAGTTGGCTGCTACGCAGGACAGGCAGTGGTGGCAAAAACACCCCGGGGCTGGATAAATGTCTTCAGCGGGCCGCATGTGGCCCTCAGGCCGTAGTTTGAGGATGCCTGCTCCAGACCTTGTACATGGGCTTGTTTTATCTACTAAAACTATCCTACATGTATTTGTGAAATGATTTAGAGAGAGCATTTAATATGCACTTGTGGCTGATGTTTCAGAAATACAGGCAAGACATTCTGTGTCTGTGAATTTCTTGGATTGAAAGGATCTTCAGGATCCTTTCAATGTTTTCAGCTGCTGAGACTGTTCAGTGAGTCAAATTTTAGAGATTAAAATCCCATGAAGCCACTGGCAGTATCATTAAATCTATCTTAGTCACCTTTATAGTCAGTCTTTTTGCATGTTTCAGATGTCTACCCACCTGAATACTAGCCTGTTTTCATTTATTTAATTTTCCCCAAAGAATGCTGTACTACTCATTGAGGAATTTTTACAATAGGTAATTCTTCCATGTTTAAAAATGTAAGTTAACAACAACATTTTAATTTTGTTTTTTAGAGCATCAGGGCATCGGGCCTTATCCTGTTGGAAACGATCCTTTTTGGGTCTCTGCTCCTATACTTTCCGGTAAGTAATATAATTATATTTTAAAAGGAGCCATTTATTTTGCTTCGTTTTGGCAGTATTTCTTTGATAGATGGTAGGTAGGTAGGTAGGTAGGTAGGTAGGTAGGTAGATAGATAGATAGATAGATAGATAGATAGATAGATAGATAGATAGATATTCGGTAAAGCCCTTGTTTATATGCGTACAAGCGAGCACACACACGCGCATGACCAAGGGCTTTATAGGTATTTAAATCCTGGCTTCTACCATTTAGGTTACCTTATACAAGTTACTTAACATTTCTAAACCTTGGTTTTCTCTTGTGAAGCAGAGGTAATTATATCTTTTCTTCCCAAGTTTGTGAGGAAGGTTAAATGTTTGAGACAATGTGTGAAAGGCATACTTGGTATGTATGCTTAATATATATAAATAAGTATTAATTTCCTTCTTCCTCTCCTACCTAAATCAGAATCATAAGACACATAGCTAATTAATGCTGGAAAATTTGAAATGGTTACTTAGAAAAATAAACATAAAGAAGGAAATGTATGTGTGGTATGACTAGTGGCTTAGTCGTAATAGACACTTGCTGTCACACTAGTAACATGTCTGAAATCAGAAGATAAGTACTAATTTTACTAATTCAATTTAACCAACTTATGCTCAGCAGTTATTGTGTGCCAAGCACTATGCTAATTTCTGGGAATATGCTATGAGCAAGGCAAACGTGATTTCTCCTCTCAAGAAGCTTACAATTTAGAGGAAGAGATGAGTTAATACAAATAATGATAATGAATGTGACAGATGCTCTAGAGGCACTTAGGAGAGATGCTTAATCAGGAGTAGGAAATAAAATATCCCTTGACAAAGACCTGAGAGAGGAGAAGGTGTAAGAGGAAAGGTAGGGCTGCCAGGACACCAGATGCCTTTTGGATTTTATCTTGCTTGCTGCTACATCTCAGCCTTCTTTGTTAATTCTTAATCTTCTCTCCCACCTCTTAATACTTGAATCCTCAAAACAGAGTCCTTGTAGCTTTTCTTAATCTACACTCTCACTTGGTGGTCTCATCTAGCCTCAAAGTTTTAAGTACTATTTACATGGCAGTGACTGCCATATTTATATATCCAGCCCAGACCATTCCCTCTAAGCTCCCAACTCATATGCAACTGCTTGCTTATAGCTCTGTTTGAAGAATTCTCTGTCATGAACTTAATCAAGACACTGATCTCTTCCTCAGATTCAGTCTTTCAGTCCATTGATGGCAACAGTATCCTTCTAGTTACTCATTCAAAAAACCTGGAGGTCATTCTTAATACCTCACTTTCTCTCACACCCAGCAGAAAACCTTAAAAATTATAGCAAGAATCCACCCAGTCCATGCCACGGTCACCATTACCACCGTCATCTAAACCATGGTCCATCTCTTCTGGTTATTGGCATGGCCTCTTATTACTGGCCTCTCTTCTCTATGCTTGCCTCCTACAATCTGTCTGTTTTCAAAACATCAAAAGATAGACTGACCATGTCACTCTTCTTGAAACTCTCTAAAGTTTCCCCATTTTACTTACAGTAAAAGCCAAAATCCTTACAGTGGCCTTCGGCCCAACATAATTTATACTGTGCTTCCTCCATTACCTCATTTTCCTGATCCTCTTCCCTCATTCAATGTTTAGATCAAGCATTCTCGATCTATTCAGGTCTCGCGTGACACTTTCTGTTTCTCCTTAAAACAGAAATATATTTAGATATAATCAGTGCTGTGCTCTGAACATGTCCTCCAAAATTGATGTGTTAGAAACTTAATTCCTAATGCGACAGTGTTGGGAGGTAGGAGCTTTTGAGAAGTGTAGGAGAGAGTTCGGTCTTTTCTGTTCCTCTTGCTGCCACCATGTGAGGATGCAGCTAGAAGGCCCTCACCAGACACCAGATGCTGACACCTTGATCTTGGACTTTCCAGCCTCTGGAACTGTGAGAAATATCTTTATAAATTACTCAGCCTCAAGGTTGTATTTTTTTATAGCAGCACAAATAGACTAAGATAATCAGTTTTCATTTTTCTATAAAATCATCAATATCACTTAAATTTTCTAATTTACTGGCATAGAGTTATGCATATTAATTAGTACTAGAATCAATCCAATAGTATAAAAACTGAGTTTATCATACCTGGCACTCTTTCTGTATAAATGGCATGTTGTACATCTTAACATTTAACCTTTCCCTGAGAACTGCCAGGCATCTATTTAACCAAAGTCATAAAATCACCAAAGGAGGAGGTGAAAAACTGAAATGATCTCAGTAATCTGAAGAATAATCTTAATAATATGACTTTCTGTGTTTGTTGCTATCATCTATTCCCCAAACCTCTGCTAGTACCAAGCCAGTAACCTCTGGCTACTGGGTAGCTACTGCTACCCAGTAGCCAGAGGGATCTTTAAAAATATCAAATCTCATCTGTCACCTCTTTGATGGCTTCTCAGTGTTCTTAGAATAAAAATTAAAACACTTGGTATGGTTTATGGTGTTAGGAATAGTGTGGTCTTGGCCCACCTCCCCAGCCTCATCTTATCTTACTTCTCTCCTCAATTTCTGTTCCTTCGTTCCCTGACTTTCTTTCAAATCTCAAATAAAACATGATGTCTTTCATGGTAGACATAATAATGACCCCAAAAGATGTCCACAGTCTGAATCCCTGGAATGGGATGATTAATTTAAAGACTTTGAGATGAGGTTATTCTGGGCCCAAGGATCCTAAGTGAAAGAGGGAAGCAGAAGAGAGAGAATCAAAGGGAAGACATCATGGAAAGATGGGACTGGACATTGCTGACTTTGAAGATGGATGGGAGGAAGGCAGCCATAAGCAAGACAAGGAAAACAGGCAGCCACTCAAAGCTGGAAAAGGCAAGGAAATAGCTTCTTCTCTAGACCATCTAGAAAGAATGTAGCCCTGTCAACATCTTGACTTTGTCAACACCTTGTCTCCATATGACCCATTTTGGACCTCTGACCTTCAAAACTGTACAATATATGTGTTGTTTAAGGCTACTGAGTTTGTCATAATATATTACAGCAGCTGTAGGAAACTAATACACCTCTTGTCACAGGAGCTCTTTATGTACTTTGCTTCGGTTTTGAAGAGTCTTCCTCTCTTCCTTCCCCTTACCTCCTCTGTACCAATCCCTTTGGCTAGTTAGGATCTAGTCATCTTTTAGATTTCTATTTAAGTATCATTTTTTCAGGAATGCTTTCTTGACCCTCAGTTTAAGTCAAATTTCTTGTAATAACTTCTCATGGAATTGTATTCTTTTTCTTGACAACACCTATTCAGTTTGTAATCACACATTCAAAGTGTGACTATTTGGTTAAGGTCGTTCCCTTGCACAGATGCTAAGTTCTATTGGAATGGGGCCTGTTTCTGTTTTGCTCAGCATCACACCCACAGGGCTCCCAATGCCTGTCACCACAGGAGGAGCACAGTAAGTATGCACTGAATGAATGAATGAATGAAATTATACTTGGATGAACTGTACCCTAAACTAGTGTTTGTCCTGTTGAAGCAGCCTCCAAAGGACCTGCTTGGTTGTCGTGGAAGACTAAGAATGATGGCCTTTATTTATATTATTCATTTAGTGAACACAGGCCATAAAATACTTTTTAATGTTGTTTTGGGGGGATTAGCAGAAGTTCAGTTCATTTTTATTTCTGATATCCATACCTATTTGTATGAAGTGGTTATATAAATGAGCATGGGCCTATAATCTATAGAAGAATTACAAAGCCTCTTAAATGGAAGAAGCACCTAGAAAAGGAGGGCATTTGAAAGAATGGTAAATGTCAGGCTTCTAATTGTTCAAAGCAGTTATTAGAGGCCTTTTCATTGACTGGACTCCAATTTTAAAAGGCATCTGATGAACCTGTACTTATGGTGATTACAGACACAGAGAAAAGGAGGGCAGAGAATTGGTAGTTTAAAAAAAATGTGAAGGTAGCATGTCTTGATAATTCTGCTTGAGAGGAATACATCAGAAAAGGAGGCTTACCAAACAAATTCTATCCAACAGAAACATTGGAATGCCTCATCATGTTGACTTCATGACTAACTAGCTGTCTGTTCTATCTTTCAGAGCATGAATTCTTTTTGTAACTGCTTGAGAAACTAATGTATAGTTCCCAAGTTTATACTCTGTCCCTTGGTTTTAATTAAGTTAGTGTTCATGCTCTGAAGATAGAAAGGGCTACATTTTTTAATGAAGATTTGGATGTAGCATAAGATACAGGGGGAGGAAGGAGATTAAAATATAATGTTGACTGAGTCTGGAAAGGATAATTTTATTTCAGGTGAGAGTAATTGATAGTTAGTAATTGATAGTTAGTAATTGATAGTTAACTCTTTGGCAACCTGGGAGCATATGTATGTGCATGGGTATACATGCCTAAAGCATTCTTGACAAGGAGTACACTAATGTGGTAATTGGACTAGGAGTCATTGGCTTACTTAGGTTTTGCAGAACAAAAGAGTTTATAACTTTTGGCCAGAGTTTTGCTCTCAGGTAGATTTGTTTTAAGTGGTTAAGGTGATTAAGTAAACCAAATATAGCCAAAGGGTCTAATGACTTGATGGTATATGAATGTGATCAGCACCTTTTGATTTGTTAAATATCTGACCTAGTTTCTGTGTTCCTGGTATGGACTATATCAAAATTGTTCATGAGAGTTTTACTGGGGGGTATAGTTTTCCTTTTAAAAAAAGTATACTTGAATAAAATATAATTGTTTTAAGGGCTAGCTAACTTTGTGGATATAAGCTTTGGGAATATTCACTGTTCTACTGAGTTATGCAATGAGCCTTTTATTCTTTTTATGCTGCATATTGTTGTTCAGATTTGCAAGAATTAAGGTTATTTTTGCCTTTTCTAAGCAGTCTTAGACTACAGACGATTTCATAACAATGCTTATATTGGAAAGTCCAAATTAGAGATTATCATCATTGTGCAGATGAGGACAAACCAAAATATGACTA